AAACTGAAGCCGAAGGCTGCATGGTCCGGTCACGCAGAGCTTTGCCGCTGGAGCCTGAGTGGAAACTGCAAAGCCGTAGATCATTATCTTGCAAGACGAATCGCAAAACCACAGTATGAGTCTGGCTCAAGTCACTTGCTGTATACTCGGTTGCAAAAAGGATACTGCTAAGCATCAGATCATGGTCGTGGTGGTTCACGGAACAGGCCGCTTTCGGCCGGGCGCCGTGAACCAAAATTGTGTCTGTAGCCAACTAACTCCTAATGATAAACCATAAACCTACACTGAGGTGCAAAAGTTCCCGTAGCTTAAATGAATAACAGAAAATGAAGTGAAAGAAATGTAATGAGTAAGTAAATCGAAGCATGCTTTTATTAACTGAAACGAAGGAAATAGGAACGGAATCAGAGAATAAGAAGAAAGTAATGTGATGTCAGGATACGACCATAGGATAGAAAGTTTCCTACAGGAATTTGACCACCTATCCAAATACAAGAAAAAAGTTAAAGAAACCACAAGCACAGATAATAACCACTACATCTACCGGATGTCTCAAGAGCGGGACCTCGTGCTGCAAGCTACTTGCAGCTGCTTGCATCTCCCTTGGCGCACCTTCACGATTTCGGGTTCGGGAGAGCAAGCTATGGCATTCGCCGCTCTCGTCAGGCTGGTTGCGGGAGGAGTGCGGCATGCTTGACGACACGCAGGACACGGCAGCATTCCATGTCCAGAGTTTGGAAGCGCGAGGGAGCCAATATTCTTCCTGAGGCTTGGTGCCCACAGTTTGGTCACAGCAGTCGAAGAAAAGTCCAAGCCGCCCTAATGCTGAACCTTCAGAACCCGCAGTTGCACTTGGAAGCCATGGCAAGGACAAAGCCGGCAATTTTGCGGCTGACTTGGCTGAGATGGCCGGACCCTTTGAGCTTTCTTCAACCATATCACGGCATGTTTGCACCATAGGGTCTGCTGGCTACGTCTCTGGTTTGGCTTAGCCGTCTAGTGTGCACGCATCTCTGGTGTGCGGTGTGCTTCGTGTGAGTCATGGGAGCAAATTAACACAGACCTGTACTCCAGCTGGGAGCCATAAACGAATAATAGCAGGACGTGATTTCGAAGAATCGTGCAAAGGTGATGATGGCATTGATTATGATGATGATGATGATGAGGATCAGGATGAGGATGGTGATGATGGGGATGAGGATGGTGATGATGAGGATAAGGATAAGGATGAAGATGGTGATGATGCTGATGCTGGTGATGAGGATGATGTCGATGATGATGATGATGGTGGTGGTGATGATGATGGTGATGGTGATGACGATGGTGATGGTGATTGTGAGGAGGAGGAGTTCGTGGCTGTAGTTGTTGATTTTGTTATTGCTGCTGTTGCCTTTCGCCACGTTGATTATGTCGAATGTCCATGCTTGATGCTTCATTGCATGCCAGTGCAGCATTGCCCTCGAGGTATGACATAGGAAAGCTCTAGGTTGCATGATCGCAAAACATTTTCGAGTTAACTTGGTTCCGAGGCTGCACGATCACAAAAAAAAAGCATCTGTTCGTTGACTTTTTGCACTTTCAAATCACTTTTCTCCGTCGTATGCACAGGCCCAAGGCGCCATGATTGATTTATATTGGTGGCATTGAAAATGTCTTGCCCATGCAAGTGGAGAACGAGTTGGAACTGAAGTGGCAGATAATTCTCGATACCTCATCCGAGAGGGAATTGTCCGTCATAACCCTTGGGCGTCCTGGCACAAAGCTTGGCCGGAAGCTGTTGATGATTAGTGGCGGCCCAAGACGACAACATGTGCATGCAAGTGCGTTGCACACCCCGTGCTGAAACCGAAAGTCTGCTCCATCCCGAAGTTTCCCTGGGGAGCAACATGAAGTCATATCTTTCAGTCTTCGGTATCACTGTCACTACTCCTCACGTAGCACAAACCCAGAATTTATACATGCGGCGGTCGAAAATCCTATGTGCTGGCGCAGTCGGCACCGCCTTGCTGACCAGTGCGAATCCAGGTCAGGCTTTCGCCGCACAGCCTGCACTTAAAGTCAAGACTTACTTGCCGAAGATGGCTGCCAGCTATGCTGCTCGTAGTTTCGGGACTCGCCAAGAGGGATGTTCTTATAAGGTAAGCATCCACAGCCTTCACCGCTACCCCGTGAAAAGCTGCCTTGGTGAAGAAATCCCTCGAGCTGAGATCGTCCAGGCCCAGGAACCTGCCGAGCTTTCAGGGGATTACTTCTGCACGATCCCTTGTGTTTGGGAGCCGTAAACCCGAGGAAGCTTGACCTCGATTCCTCCAACAGTTTCTGTGGATCACCTTCCTTCTTTTCGAGCCGGAAAGCTGGGACTTCAGAGCTTCGAACTTCCACTCGCTGGAAATCTCTGAAGCATCCAACTAGATGTTCCATGTTCTCGCAAGACAAGCACTGGCACGCAGGTCCGCATGCACCTAGCAGGTTCCAGTGCCACTCTAGATAGATGGCTTTAGACTGCACTCATCGCAGTGGCCTTCTAGCAGTAGCGAAAAGTGTTCAACTGGATCTTAGCATCCGATCAACAGGATGTCCACCAAGCTCGTGTGCAGGAGGGCATTTTGGGAGATCGAACCTTCGTGGTGCCTGGGCTCAACCTGGGGATGCTATCTGCGCAGTGAAGTCGACCATCGTATCATCACCATCATCACAATGATGCGTCAACCACAGGCATCATATCGTAATGATGATGATGGTGGTGTCATCTTCTCAATATATAGCCTATATCATGACAAGTATTAAGCTACATTGTCGCCCCTCATCCAACCAACCATCCACGCATCCATCTTGTAGTAAGTTCAAGTTCATGCATGACCAACCCCAACCCCCAACCCCCTCAAATAGAGAGGGGGCGCCGAGCCCGGAGCCGCAACGACATCTAAGCACAGTCCGGGAGCGGTCCCCAAAGCACAGACACTCCCGGGTGCCTCAGCGCGAAGCCACACTTTACGTAAGGTGGCTTCGGAAGCGCGAGCGCTGACGCAGCGCGAGGCGTGTCGGGGCCCCCGCGGCGATTGCGGTTCCAAGGCGGCTCGGCCTTGCGAAGACGCTGCCTCGACAGGAGCCGCTGCTGTCTACTGTGGCGGCACGTCTCACCGAAGAATCCCTGCAGGTTCGGGATCTGGTGGGCCTCAGTTCTTGGAGCGGATAGAGTCGTAGACTCTCGTAGACTAGCCTGTCCTGTGCAAAATGGCCTTCAGTCTCAGGCATAACCAAAGAAAACAAAGCGCCAGCCCTGCAGATAGCCGCCGTAGATGGAAGCCGCGACCTGCTCGAGGCGACCGTTCTACATTGTCATCAACTTTCGGACGTGTCGGATAGGTTTCGGAGGCTTGATCACCCTCGAATGCTCTAGCCACTGCTACTGCGGATGCATGCAGCAGTGTTGATCACGATGTTCATCATCTTTACCATCACCACAGGTTTGTTCATGAGACCCTCGGCTGTGGGGATCTGCGTGGCGTGAGGTTTGCTGGGGTCTTGTGGTTCAGTGTAAACATCAACACGAACGAGTGTTTACTGAGTTTTTCGGGAGCTTCACAGTGCCAGGTCTCCAGTGGTGTCTCGATTGCAGTCTGAGGGGATGCATGTGGCCCAGCTGCGGATGTCTCCTGCAATGGGATGCTCGCTGTGGGAAGGGCTGTACATGCTTCGACTGCTTCGACGGAAGACCGAGGTGACCCTGGACCCACACTGCAAGCACCAGACTCTGCAGCGCGCCTGTTTGGCGACAATGTGGTGGGTATCGACCAAGGCAACTGCTGTTGGGGAGTTACACGCCTTGGATTTCTGTCGGACACAGGTTGTCGCAGATTGGCATCATTGGATCGGTATAGTGCCAGGTTTCGAACTCTAGAAGACTCGCCTTCTGGGCCCAGAGACGCCGAGAAGTCTTTAGATGCCGAAGGCCAAACCGAAAGCCGCAGTCCTTCCCGAACTTCGTCGAAGCAGTTCACACATTGGGTTTCCGGCTTTCTGCCGAGAGAGGCCGGGAGGCGGCGGCCTGGCTGTCAGAAGTCCTGGACCGACCCTGCCGGCTGCTGCGACGCTTCGCGGGCTGTCGCCGGCCTGGGAACAGGATTTTGAGATGGTTTGAAGGGATTCCTGGATATAGGGTTGAAGGGAGAATTAGGGCGCTAGGGATGTTGGCGTCCGGGCTTAACTCTGCACGCGAAGCTTCGGATGTAACACGAAATCCTTGGAAGCGGAGTAGAGGGGGATCGTGGACGTGGTAGTGGTGATGGGTTCTTTTTGGGAGGTGTAGTGTTGGGGGGTGTGCCAGACTGGTGGCTGATAGTTGTTGTAGTAGCAGTGGTAGCGAAGGTGGCAATAGTGGTAGTGAAGTGGTAGTTGCAGTTGGAGTTGAAATCAACTGCTGACGAATTGAATCAGAAAGCGACTCGTTCTCGAAGCATCCACACAACGCAGCCAAACCCAAGCCCCAAAATCCATCCGCGTAGCCAAGCAGCAACCCGATAAGGCCTCCCCGCGCCCCAGAATCCATCCGTGTCCCACTCGAGATCTATCCGAATCCATGCAGAACCCAAACCTCCATGCTCGGCTAGAGAACCCGGGGACTGGGGGAGGCGTTTGTGGAGTCAAAAAACATCCAGACAACGGCAACCACCAAGCATGTGCGAAGCGGAGTTGAGCGGATGGGACACGAATTGCATCTAGACTCTAGACACCGTTCAAGCCTCGGCGGAATTGATTGACGATGAACTGTAGTACCCAGACATTACTTCGCATCTGCAGTAGCCGAAATGCGCATTTGAACACTCTTCTTTTTGTCTTGGCCCAAGACCCTCGACAGGCAAACGCACTGCGGCAGGTTCACATTGGTTCCAGCCTGAGTTGGGTAAATGGATCCGGACGGTCAGGACTTAGACTTACGGCCTGTGTTGTTGTACAGGTTGATCAAGATCAGCGCATGTCATTGCTGCCAAAGGTCGAGCTGCGATGTTGGCTTTATGGCGCTGCATCATATTGCTTCTGATTGACAAGCATATTCGGATTTGCCAAAGTATATGTTTAGAGCAGCCAGCAATGCCACAGACATAACAGACCTTTCCCGAAGGCAGACACTTGTTTTTCCAGTTCAAGCTAGTTGATAAAGCCCCAGCTTACATGAAGAGTCGAGCTCGTTGCAACAAATGCCTGCTGCAGGGCTGACATTGCACCGCTTCTGGTAGTGCTGCTTGGCCTGACAAGATCTGTAGATTTGGCGTCGACGGCGTGCGCAATTCAGGTTTTGGAGTTAACAATCGTTAATGCTGTTCGCTGGACGGCTGCAATTTAGCAACAGCGTCAATGGCGGGGGATAGGGTATCTCGTAGGCACATTAAAAGGATCCCAGGGTTAAGGGCATTAAGGGTCCATACATGGGGCCCACGGTTTGAACCTTAGAAGTCTGCGTAGGAGACTGGAGTCGATTCTCCTAGCGCTCTAGTCTTTGGACCGCCCATTCTGCCGTCTATGTTCCCATGATTTGTGAGATTGAGGCTGGCATGTTCATGTTCGAGGATTCGAGGATGTCGTAGAAGCTCTCGTCATCTCTCGTGCTGTGCTTTTGCTTTGCTTTGCAACTGGCCGTGGCGGGAGGTCGAAAGCATCACTCCAGGCCTTGGCCGAAGCAACGGGTAAAGAGATACCCGCAGAGGCTTGGCTTCGTTTGTTTACAAACATAAACGCGAAACCGAAGACACGCTCGCTGACTGCCCCCGTTGGTGTAGGGGGAAGGCCGGGGGGCCGGCCTAAGCCTGAACCCCGAGAAGCCTGCGGTTGTTGCCGCTCTGGGCGACTTGAAGAGTAGGCATAGCTCGAGTTCGACGCATCGGCTAGAATACCTGCAAATTGTAACAACTGTGATACAGACCAAGAGCTAGAACAGACCTAATCACAGCAACAAGAATAGGGCAATAAGCTACCCAAGGACCGATTTCGGCCGAATGTAATCCTCGAGGGCCCCATGGAGCCTCACGCAGAGGCCGGGGATGAATTCTTGTTCTGAACTCTGAAACAGGACCTGCGTGCAGGTTGTAGATTACGCTTAGGCCAAGGACTCTCGGCACACAGACTTAGCCAGAAGCTGCGCAAGGGTTATGTAACCCAGGAGCTACTGTCTCGGTTCACCCTCAGTTTCAAGTTGCTGGATCTTGTCAGGACACGTGGGAAGAGATGCGCGTCGGTCGTGGCCTCGGTGTCCCCCCAGGCCAGAGGCCAGAGGCGACAGGGAGACAGCATCGGCTTAGCTGGAATCTAGCGCCTAGGGCTCCTTGCGAGAAGGGTCCTGATGCTTCGGATCGATGCTTTTCGCATCTTTCCGGGCCCTTGAAGCGTAAACCCGAAGCTTAAAGCCTCCCAGAAGAACAGGCACTTTGCGTCTGCAACGCTTGGGCCCTTGTGCACGCTGTGCCATCATCGACGTGGCGCAAGGACGAGGAAAGCGCCGGAAGCCCAGGCGGAGTATGGCAAAGCGAGTGCTTGTGCGACAAGACCTGAACATGGCACTGTCAGACCGTGCCAAAGCTACTGGTAGCAGCGAAAGATCTTGAAGAGACTTTGATGCTCATCGGCTCAGAGCCTGTCTCGGAATTCTGTCACTGCGGTGCCCTGCGCCCAGGTGACAATGCCGTGTATGGGCCACTTGTACAGCACCGGGGGCAGGCCGTCTTCGGCCAGTGCGCCGCTCCCACTCAGGCTCTGGCCCTTCTCGTCTCCCTCGCGCTTTGAGGTACTACCGGCCCATCCTTGCAGAGGGCGTGCCCTCTGATCGGACGCTGGAGGTCGGCACCGAGGTCGAGATCGCTTGAGGAGAAAAGGAGGCTCTGACTCCCCTCAGCCCTTTTCGGAGATGGGGAAAGGTGGAAGTTCTTCTGGATGCCTCCAAGGCCGGGCACGCGTCTCTGGCGACTTGGCTCCGCGACGAATGCGGCGCTGCACGTGCCGCGAGCTGCCGGAGGCCCAGCCAAGCATCCTCCCTCCCATCAGTGACGATCAGTGTTGCCCTGGTGGCGAGGATGCTGATGCAGGTGACGGTGTGACGAGATGATGTACGGGAGGACGGAAGCACATTTCTCCGTTTGAGCTCTGACCGAGGTCTGAAACTGGGCCTCCGCGAGGCTCTCCGACCCGGTCAACGCATTCGGATGTCTAGGACATTCTAGGATCATTGGGGTCGGCGGCAGATCTTGGCTCAGCCATCATTGTGTGTCCGCCCGTCTTCGAAGCACCACTATCGGAACCAATTGCAAGCGCTTTTGGACTCGCAGATTCCACCGCAAAAGCCTTTGCCGCTCCCTTCGTCGTGATGAGTTCTGTCAGGATGCCGACCTTCACACGATTCGGCAGGCTTGCACGGGGCCAGGCTGAGAGCTTGTTGGCACAGCATCCGGAGACGAACCTTCTTCACTGAGTCCCAGTGTTCGTGAAATTTTTGAAGCTTCCAGTTGAAGACGCCGTTACTTGACAGACTTGTTCATGACGCGTTTCGGATGTTTGGGCATCAAGGCGTGTTCGAGTATGTTTGGTGATGTCGCAGCATGCTGTGAAGCTTGAGATGGATTCACGACGCACAGACACGCCCATGCACATCTTCGACTTATCTTAAAAGACTCACTCTGGCTCTACATCTACTTTCGCAAAACAAGCTTGGTATGCCTGATTCAAAGTCGATCCTTGATCTGGAACGGGAAACGATGTGCCGCTTCAGAGAGCTTCCAGGCCTACCTCCGTTTGGCCCGCGAGGTGCATCCAGACTTTTGGCCTGCAGTGGAACTAAGGACTAGGCCCAGTCGAGAATGACGAGATGCAAAGGATTCGGCTCCTACAGTTTCAGTTTGCAAATGTTCACTGCTTTGTAGAGTCAGGCATGGTTGCCTCGGGGATACCAGGGTTTTCATTGGCTATCCTGTTGCTGCTGCTTGGTGACCGATCTGTGTGATGATTCCTTTACAGCAGTAGCCATCTAAGGCCCTGGCCGCCAATCCCCGAAGTACGCTTTCTGAGGATGGCCGCCCTGGCTGCTGCCAAAGCGTCGAAGAGCCCTTTCGTCCAGAAGGGGGCTTGAAGGTTTAAGGTAGCTTCTGTATGCTTTTGGATACTCTCAGATTCTTTTTTGAAAGGTGGTTGGAGAGAGGAAGATGCCACCTTGGGAATCTAGCAGGCCCTGGCCAGACTGACTCGACACACTCCCCCGGCAAAATGGGAGCGTCAAGGCGCCGATTAGGACAGAAATTAAAGTTCGCTGTGACCACCCTGACCGAAAGCCACCTTCCCAAGCATGCAACACAGCCAGCAGCAAGAAGAGTTACTGAGTTGGATTTGTATCCCAAGCAAGAAGTGCTTCAGGGCTTCTTGGTGGTGAACCCCTCAAGGAGCAGTGGGGCGGTGCTTTTCAATACAGGATTCAGGATGCCGCTCCTGCCAGGAAGCAGCAGCAGTATGCAGCAGTACCAGGGGTTGTGTTAAGTCGTGCCGCGCCGTTTGAAGTCATTCCCTTCGTGCGTGGACACTGGGGGGGAGCCCTTCTGAACAAGTCCCAGCAATCGGTACAGCGGCACAGCCAAGTCGCACATGGTTTTTGGATCCCACCCCACACTGGGAGGAAGCACCTGCAGGGGTCGCATCACCGAGTGTCTACAGTGACACAGCTACGTCGCATCACGTCTTTTGGATCCCACCCCACACTGCGGGGAAGCACCCACGCGGGTCGCATCACAGAGTGTCTACAGTGACACAGCTACGTTGTATCATGTCTTTTGGATCCCACCGCAAACTGGGGAGAAGCACCCGCGAGGGTCACATACAGCTAAGTCGCATCATGTCTTTTGGATCCCACCCCACACTGGGGGGAAGCACCCGCGAGGGTCGCATCACCGAGTGTCACTGTACAGCTAAGTCGCATCATGTCTTTTGGATCCCACCCCACACTGAGGGGAAGCACAGGGTTGAATAGGTTTTCAGAGCAAAAGCGGGTTGAATAGGTCGTTTACGACATTACATTTCTTTGGTGCTGTTTGTCTTGAGTGGGTGCTTGTGAAATCGAGCGTCTACATCGGGAATGGCTGTTGTCGTGCGCTGTGCTGCCAATGATGTGTCAACACTGAAGTCAGGCGCATTCCCGACTTGTTTGATTGCTATTGTTGCATGTCTGAAAGCGCGTGGGCATGGGGATTAGTTGCCAAACTGGCACACTTTTCAATGCTCCGGGGCATAATTTCCTAAGAAAGCCTGCGCGCGGCACTCGAAATCCTAAGTTGGTGCCTTTGCCAGGAATGGGCTAGGAAGCGCGTGGCCATGGGGAAAGCGATGTGCAGCTATGCTTGTGGTGTGACTTCACACGCCCTGGTGTGACTTCACGCGTTCCCCCCGTGGCCAGGTGTCGCGACTTCACGCGCCCTGGGGCGACATAAACCTACCCCTTGTAGCAGTCGTCGCCGCCTCCAACAGCCCTCGTCGTGGTGATCGTCGTTGCGGGAAGGGCGGGGCCGGGCAGGACAGGCGCCGTTGGGGGCACTTCAGGACCACTTCTCCCGAAGGGGAACAGGCATTGTGATTCTTTGCTGCAGGTTCGCGGCTCTGCACGTCCCCCCGGCAGGATTAGAAACGTGCATGTGTTACAAATCTCTGAACAGACACCTGTTGGGAAATGTTGTGCACTCGCCGAGATGTGTCACGTTTCGCTGCAATAAATGTGGCTGAATCTGAAAGCAGAGCCAGGCTGCCTACCACCACTTGACGAAGCTGGGGGGTCGGGGCGGGCAGACCAACCCACGCCACCAGGCACAGCTTTGCGCATTCAGTTTGAGCCTGCGAGACTCGTCTAAGCCCCGAGACTGCTGGGCGGAAGGAGCGGCTGATGCTCACATGGGACGGTGCTGTGAGCCATGGCATGGAGGGCGAACGGGAACGGTTTAAGCCACGCACTCAGAAAGATCGAGCTCACATAATGGTTGTCATTCAGTTTTTTCTGCTTACACTGAGCATTGGCACCGTTGCATCTTGCCCGTGCCAGCTTGGCATCGACGCGCACTCAATTAGATTCCGATTTCGAGCGTCTTACTTACCTTGCAGCATTTCCTACCTGCGCAGGACCCTCATTTAGCAAACAGCATGAAGTGCTCCAAATCCAAGTGCCAAGCAGCCAGGGAAAGGACCATGCTATGAGGAAACCGACTGTGCACAGTGCGAACGAAGAGTTTGAAATCTCAAAGACAAAGTCTAAGAAACAGCCTCGGACACTGCAGGGCACGTTTGCTGACCGTGGTTGGTGAGCTGGGGGCTCGGGAAAGCAGTTTCGGGTTGTTCCAAGAGAAGGGTTTTCTTTAGTTCAGGCCGTAGCGCTGTCCGTTGACACCCTGAAGGTCCAAACTCAGGTGATGCCACAAAATCAGCTGAGATCGATTCTGCATTTTGCAAGTTCGGTCGTCCAGTTCGGCATCTACAGGTTTACTCCATTCAGTCATGCACACGTTGGCAAGTGGCTTTGCGGAGTGCACGTCGAATCTACTACATCATAATGCTGACATAAGCCCTGCTATCTCTGCTTCATTTATGGATGTCTCGCGCCACGAGCCAGGTTTGGGGACAAAGGCTTCCCGGTGAGTTCGTTAAAGAAGAAGTACGCGCAGGCTGCTGGAGCATGACTTGGTGAACGGCTCTCTGCGCTTCGGTTTTGGATTCGGAGCACTCCATGAGTTCCTAACATTGCCTTCCCAGGTTTCAAGATGCATCATGATGCCTCAAGGTACAAGTTGGGGAGAGCCTAGTTGGCTAGTGTTACATTTAACAGGAAACCTGCTGCCCTCGCAACACTCAACCTTCATGACCTCCAAATCAAGCTTCAGCACCGGAGGTCTTCGCAGGGGCGGCGGCCAATTGCATGTTTTCCCTGCCGTAGATGTAGGTGGGCTTGAATCCGTTGTCCAACTATCGATCCTTATTCGGAACTTCCGGTGTCGTGGTTGAGGAGTTTCCCACCTGCAGTAGGCAGATTCCTCATGACCGGGTTGATAAGTCACCGAATTCCACAACCTTAGTTATGATACAGCTAAAATATATTTTTCCTTTACCATGGATGCAATGTATGAGGAGTTGCTGCATACATGATGGTCATTCGTACGCACGCGCAGTCAAAGATTGTAAGGCGCCAGTGCTCAAGCTCCTGGCATCGCTTGCATCTTTTCGGTCTTAGGCAGCTTGGAGGGCTTTTCACGGGCTTTTCAGTTCTGCCTAGCGCCAGGCACTGCCTGCACCGAGCGCCTTTGGCCTCCGGAAGAGTTGCGGCCTCCTTGAGTGGCACGGCCATTTAAAAAGACTTCAGAACCACGACTGTGAGTTTTTGTGCTTTTGATTGAAATGTTGATGGACACAAGTGCAGTTGTGTTCTTGGAAACATTCTCGGCATCCGAACTATCAGCCGAACACTCTCACCACACACATCCACATACCTCGGCAGAAGTTGGACCTCTCGTGCACTCGTTCGCCAAGGCTAATTGTCTTGCCAAAGGTGCAGGAGTAGTTTATGAGCGCGACAGTTTCTCAGCTGCAGGAAACAAAGCATCTACAGCAAGTTGTCACAGCAGGACCAAGCTTGGTATTCAAAAGCCAAGCTGGAAATCGTAGAATGGAACATACCACTGTGGTGAGCACATTGATCAAGACCTAGAGCTAGTAATGCGCAAAAGCAAAGCTCTCCTCAGCACAACAGCAAGGTGAAGATGAAAAAGAACCGCGGCAGCAGCAGCAAGAACAATTGCGCCCGCAACCCACAACCTCTGCAACTACCACGACGATGCAGCAACGGCAGAAACAGATTAGCAACGAAAGCAAAGTCCATAGAGTTACGATAGCATGCCGAGAGCACTAGCTGTGAGCTTAGCGCGACTTGAGTTCTTATGTCCAGTCAACACTGATTCAGCTGTCTGATAGCCCTGTTGTTAGCAATGGTAGCTGTGTTCCTGTGGAGTCCAGACCGTTTGAAGATAACAAGCTGCGCACCCCACTTTCAAAGCAAGAGCTTCTTGCAGTGATATTTACGCAGACCCAAGCGCAGTCTGATTCATGAGCCTTATGCTACACGACCATGGGCTCTTCAATCCGTTCAGAGGACTTCATGCTCCACACTGTTGCTTTGGAGGTTGCTGCGGACGGTGGCGAGCGACGTAGTTCACATCGAGCTGGATGCAAATGGTAAGGACGGCAGAAGCAGCTCTTCTCAGCGAGTTATGGGAATCACAAGTTCTTTCGGTCATGAGGGGACGATTCTGAGCTGTTCAATTCAGCTTTCCAGTAGGATTGGGTTCAGCGCACTCAGAGAGCCAAAGTCCGGCCGGAAAACAAGCAAACAAAGAGCCTCACAGAATGTGAGGGGGCCAATCGCAGGAGCCGTTGCTGCGTGCCATTTGCGGCTACAGCCCAGCCAACGGCGCAGAAAAGTGGATCGCAAAGCTTTCGGCCCGAAGCCGCTTTGTGACGGATGGCACAAGAACAGTATACGACGCTTGCACGCTTGATCTTCGTTTCAATGACTCGGGCTCCTGAAGCTTGACAGCTTCTTCGGCTGAGAGGAGGTTGAAGCGCATGGGACGCATTGCCACGCAGAGACTCTCAATTTGCATCACCCTCTCCATGGTCCCGGGCACCAGGTAGCTCGAAGTTAAAGTCACCGAGCGGCTTGCTGCGGTGCGCAGATGCATTCTGTTTCGAGATTCAGCATGTACACCTGAAGCAACACAGCTACTCTCAACAAGCCATGCCGCTGGAGGGGCGACAGGAGCCTGCAGCCTGCCTGATGCATGAGTCGCCGAGGGATTGAGAGCGGTGTCACGAGCTCCCACACCGGCTGTTCGTGTGTCCTGTTGGCACCGATGGAGGTTTGAGCCAGCAAAATGATCCCTTCCATCCGCAGCAGACGTGCGCAGCGGTCTGAGATGTTCAGAGGATCTCATGAAGCTCCTGCGTTCCGGGGAGGTGGACGAGGCATTCATCCTGCCTGGTGTTGGCTGCAACATGCTGCAGCTTTGCGTTCTTAAGCTTAGAGCCCGCCCAGAGGCTGCTGAAAGTCTGAAAGCCTTCACACTTCAGTTGTGTTGCAGGGTTTCGCCACCATGCACCTTCCCTGTTCTAACTAGGACTATACTAAATGCTGCAGGAAGATCTCTTGGAGTGTCTTCGTGATGACGTCAGAGGGCGCGACCCCTTGGAGGCATGCGGGCCTGCAAAAAGAATACAGCGCAAGCGAGCATCACAGGAGCCTGGAACTGTGGAGGAGGTTTTCTGCAAACGGTTGCACGGAGAATCTCAACTCAAGTCGCCTTTTCCTGTTTCACTCACATGATGCAGCTGCCCCAACATCAAGCATCTAGTTACATCCGTGCGCAGGACAAAGGAGATCATGCTGCACACCAGAAGGACAAGGACTGGCCCGGCACTCGGACGCAGTAAGGACCCACCGCTGCTTCGCTTCTCAGCCACACGCTTCTCAGGTGGACGCCTTTGCACTGGGCGGCCCAGGCCCCGCCGACGGCTTCCTTTTCCTGCTGTGCGTCCGTTCTTCCTCTCCGCTCTGCATTTTTTCGTAGGATGGCCACGAGCGCCTCGTTGAGAAGCTCCTCGGCCTCCGCGTCAGTACGGCTCTCAGACGCGCAAAGAGACCTTCCGCTCTTCGCTTCGCTCGCTTGGCTTTCGTCGCGGTTTGTCAATGCCAGAATTCCGCAGACAGGCACCAATGCAGCCGATATTTGCGGAGCCACGCCTCTGGTAGGGATCCTAGTGATCCTATTGACTGCTGGTGATCCGTGGGATTTTTCTGTGCATCTGCGTCATGCGCGCATCTGTTTGCTAGCACTGTTGCTGGTTGCTTCCGGGGAGGATTTGCTTGCCATTTCAGTGTGGTTGCCTTGGTAATAAAGTACTTCCACGCTGAGCGCACTCAGCTAAAAATCGTAGCATAGCATTCGTGTCTTCGATGTTTGCAGCACTGCTTGTCGTAGGAATAGAGTGTCAGTCGTCCCGAAGAGGACCAAAACCTTTGCGAGTGCGCTCCATTGCGGGGCTTGTTTTCTCGGGCATCCAGAATGCAGGTTCAGTGCTTCCCCAAAACATTCTTAGATATTTCCACAAACATGTACAATCCATGCCCATGCCCCTTGCAGGAAAATGGTACCCGCAAGTCAAGGCCATACAGCCCAGAGCTTCCAGCTTCGCGAACATAGCAGTAGATTCACATATCAGGTCTGAGGTGCCAAGGTCTGGTCGTTGTAAGGGTCAGGCAGTCACAGACAGTCTAAATGGCAATCATTTGCACCACGAACAACAAGCAGTAGCGACGAATAGCACTTTAAGATTTACGGTCATGCATGGACGCCCCTTGTCCAGGCTGTTTTGGACCATAGTTAAGACTGTATACGGCGCTATGATGCTTCTGGTGTGGGCAAGAGGAAAGCCTATTTGGCAGCTTGCGGTTTCTGTTGCAGCAATCATGGTTCGTGATCGTCACTACGATGATTATATCGGTCCTTCGGTTCGTTTTCGTAGAATTCCCTGGATGTTGTGCGGCACGTCGTGGCTGAACTCAGATGATCGCTGCCTTCAATGGGCGGACGCGGATTATCGAGGCATCCCAGAGAGAGAAAGAGAGAGAGAGAGAGAGAGAGAGAGAGCGAGGGAGGGAGGGAGGGAGGGAGGGAGGGAAAGACAGGGCAGGCAGCCTCCAGCTCGGAGTTTCCGGCCAGAAGTTCGGACAAGATCGCAATATTCAGAAAGATTCTCAAAGACATTGACCTTCCTCTCGAAACCAGGCTTTGCTTCGTGATCGGTCCACTGATGTGCGGCAGGTCCGACAGCTTCACTGTGTTGCCTTTCGCATTCTGGCAACCTTCAGAGTAATCACGACCATGGCGATGATCAAGATATGATGATGATGATGACGATGATGATGATGATGATTCCCATCATGTATCCAGACGAACTTCAATTTTTGTACCACCAATGCTATGACAATTCTGCATCCGACCTTGGCGACTTCGCAACTGCAGGGTGAGAGGTGGTTGTGGGCTGGATAGGCTTGCCGGTCTAGCGGCCACAGTGAGAGCCCAGGTTTGGGTCCGAAATTTCGCGCAGCTGTAGAAGGTTTCCTCGCTATTGAGTTTAAGTGGGATTGTATTCAACTACTACACCCCAAACTCAAGCTACCTGTGCATTTGGGACATATCACATCACGGGATGGTGACACCCTTTGCGACTTATCCTTGGCTGCGCCGGTGAGACCAACAAGTACCTTGGCACTGCGCTCCACTACGCTGCGCAGCGTGGCCACGCCGGGCCCCAAGCGCAGCACGAGGAAGCTGTGGAGGAAACTCAAATTGAGGCGGCTGGCCCATGAAAGCGAAAGCTGGCATTCTGGTTTGTCTTGCGAATTCACTCCGAAGAACCAGCGATCGACAGCTGCCTCTGCCTCAAGTCAGAATGCCCCGAGTCGGCCAACGCATGCAAGTGACCAGCGACCCGAAGCACTGCTGTGAAGTCTCAAAGCTGCACAGAGATGATACCGAGTGAAGATATGAGGACTTGCCAACGTGCGAGACACATGCTATGTTCAGCAAGCATGCATTGGCAATGTTGTCCGGGATACCATGTCATCTCATGCTACGAAACTCTGTCACAGTTTGTTTGAGCAGACGAAGAGCTGCAGGGTAATGTGCGAGACTGTCGAGTTCATCAGGACCCTCCTATGTACCTGCTACCTCATGTCCTTCCGAATGCCTAAGCCCACCCTGAGACCACCGGAATCCAAGAAACATGCTCCAGGCTGCCGCCGTGGAGCTTCTCATCGACGCCCGGGCCGAGGTCTGCTGATCTCGTTTCACTTCTGGAACTTTAGATTCGCCCTCCTTCAGCATGCAGTCCGAACTCTGAGACAGTGTGTAAGCGCCGGTGCCGCGGGATAGAGCGATATTGGAATATGTGGTGTCGTTCTTCCTTCTGCAATTTTTGCTTGTTCATGCATTCCTGTCGGAGTTTGTTTCGCGGGAAGCCTTCGATCCAAAGTGCTGGCGGGAGATCCGGCAAGTCGTGCACCCTGTGCGAAAGGGTTCTCGATAGCGGCTTTCGTGGATCTGCTGGTCTTTCGTTGTCATCGTTGAGGACATAGAATGAATGCTCTCTATCGATGTGTGAGGACGGTTGATACTGTAATGCCTGTGACGATTACTACTACGACGCCTGCTGCTGGCTAGCTGCTGCTGCTGCTGCTGCTGATGCTGCTATCCTGAGCTGTCTCTGCTGTGACGACAACGACCATCAACAGGGTAGTACTGTAGAATTAGCAGTAGTCGTCGTCTCAGTGGTGGTGGCAGTGGTACTGTAGTCGTCTTAGTAGTTAGTAGTAGTAGCAGTAGTAGTAGTAGTAGTAGTAGTAGTAGTAATAGTAGTAGTAGTAGTAGTAGTAGTAGTAGTGTTAGTGGTAGTGTTAGTGTTAGTGTGAGTGTTAGTGTTAGTGTTAGTGTTAGTGTTAGTGTTAGTGTTAGTGTTAGTAGTAGCAGTAGCAGCAGTAGCAACACGAGGAATAGTAGTAGTAGTAGTAGTAGTAGCAGTAGCAGTAGCAGTAGCAGTAGCAGCAGTAGCAGCAGTAGCAGCAGTAGCAGTAGGAGTAGCAGTAGGAGTAGGAGTAGCAGTAGCAGTAGCACTAGTAGTACTACTACTACTACTACTACTACGCCCACAATGGTCGGTGCACCCGGATCAGTCCAGTCCTTCAGGTCACTCCAGTTCTTCAGGTCACGCGTACTGCCTTCACGGACAGGTCCACTCCAGCCGTGTTTTGCAAAACCACCGCGAATTGGCAGCAAGTCGGGCTCGGGAGGGTACCGGCCATGGACTTGCCCCTTGTTAAAGCATGTGCTGTGCAGCTCCGGTACTTCACCTGCTCCCGCGGCTGCCGTTTACTCTCAGGCCTTCAGCTTTACTGGTAGCTACGGGCTAAAAGAGATTGCGTGCGTGGCTGCTTCCTTTTGTGGCTGCAGCTGAGCGTGGTTTCTACAGTGGCACCGGAGCTTGAGTTTGCGAGAGGACCCGCTGCGCTTGAACTCCGTCTTTCTTCGCTTGCAAGGCCCTCCCCTGCGGTTACAGACTTCAGACCCACAACCAGGCGGCAGCAGGGCTGGGACTTTGTGACTTTGGAGCGCGTTTCGCTCAGTGCATGTGATGGCTGAAGATAACAAAGGCAACGGCGATTATGGTGCTTGGGGCCGGGTCCCAACATGGGACGGGTCCCCTCTTTCCTGGAGGACGTTCCGCCGCGAGATGTCATGGTGGATGTCGAGTTTGGACTCGGCTTCCACCATGAAGTACAATCTGGCTGCCAGATGGCTCTTGAGACAGTCAGGGATAGTCCGGCAGAGGGGCGAGGAGTTTAGATTTGAAGACCTCGCCTTTCAGCCAACCCATGAATTCGTGGATCCAGAGACGGGAGAGTCTTTCGAGGTGACTCCGGCCGATCCCTTTTTCGGCCTCAACAAGCTTCTTAAAGCCCTCGAATCCATGAATGGCCAGAGCACTCTGGACAAGCGAGGTGAATTAAGGACGGCCTTTTATTCACATGATGAGGAAGGCCGACGAGCGCATTTCTGACTACAGCAGCCGCTTCAGGACCGCCGTCGCGGACCTGAAGGCCGAAGGGGTGGTGCTACCGGACCCCGAGGTTGGATGGTTTTACAAGGAGAAGCTTGGTCTGGACGGCTTGCGCAAACAATTATTAGAAACAGCGCTGGCTGGAGCCGAGGACTACCACCAGATCGAAGCCGAGTGCCTGCGGCTTTTCCGGGGTTTACATACGCAGGACCCCCTCTTCCGCAGGGCCGACCGGGCCAGTGGCAGACTCACCATTCGCCGCATTCTTCGAGCGGTCGTTCTACGGTGTCTTCGGTGCCCTCCTCGGCAGGCATGCACACTATTTCCACCCTCAGCGATACGACTGCATATATGGACTTGCACTCCGCAAACACTCTACTGATTGCCTCGTCACTCGCGCGCCCCGGGATATAAGCAGCGTGTTGTGGCTTGGCGGGCAGCCAATGCTGTGTCTGTTGCCAAATCCTATCACGGACCAACCCTGCCAGAACCTTAGAGGATTAGAGGACGGGTCCTGGACACCCAGCGCGAGGGCCGTCCCGGTGCGAAAAACATCTATAAAAAGTATTCAGTGAACTTCTCAGGACAGTGCCTCCAGACCTCGGCTACAGGGCAGCCTCGCGGGACAGCTTTATGCAACTTAAGACGCTGAGTGACAACACAAACCTCCTCCGGACGAAGACAGGATCAGCAAATCCGGGCTCAAACTCAAAGTTGTCGTCCCTAGTGAAAGCGGTCATGAAGTAGCCCAGCAAGGCATCAAATTGCTGCCGCATGTCAAGCAAGCGACCCTCGGAGTCACGGATGCGAACAGCATCCCGACGCTGCTTAGGTGCTATTTGCTGGAGAGTTCAGAAGACAGTGCGGTTGTCATGTCGGGAAGCTGCACGGTATGCACATTCCACGCGCTCCTGCAGCCGCTGCCATACCATTATTTTGAACCACCTGCGCAGCCCGCCTAAACGCTTAAACCTAGCAAACCGAATCCGATTCGCGAAAGCCCTTTGCATGGCAGTGCCTGGCCGGGGCCTAGGGTCTTGTCCGCACAGCAGCTTTAGCAGGAAAATATTGGGCTATGTGTTCGCGAAAGTTCTGGGCAGCAGGGCTGGCACTCAGGAGGCCCGCAGCTAGCACATCCCGGAGTACGCACTAGGAGCAGGACGAGCTGGCGCTCTCAGGTTTCCATCCTTCCATGGCGAGAGATCAAATGCAATTGGACAGGCTTGTTTGGCCCGATGATCAGCCGCCGATCTTCTCACCGCCAGCAAATCAATCTGTGTAGCAACAGCACCATCACGATACGTAGCGCAGCTAGAACCCCTAGCCGACCCCCAAGTATTCAGGAGACAAAGCTGTTGTGTGTCGATCATGTTAAGAAGTTCTTGTTCAGGAGTCCTAAATTCATCGAAGCAAATGTCTTCTATCAGGCCAGGCTTCGAAGCAACTGCCGCATTGACACGGCCCAGCCAGAAGGTTGCGTCGCTGTGCCAGAGATCCGCTCACCTTCCAGCATTGTCACTGTCCCCTTCATCTTTGCGAACCCACTGGTAGACAGAAAAAACATCCAATGTGGCTTTGGAGCCTTGACAACGAACCTACAAGACCCGACCAGAAACTTGCCCGCGAACGGGTTCTCGGGGCAGCTGTGGTGCAAACCCTAACCCTCAGGTCTACCGGAGCTGCTGTTGCAGATTGTCGGCCGTCTTGATTCTCCGGCCACAGGACTTGGGACCTGTGCAGCTGGTCGTCCAAGGCGCTGTTCAAATTCAGCGTCATCGCCGAAGCAGAAAAGAACAAAGGCCATGAACCTTTGCACACCGAGACTCAACATTCCGGCTCCAGCCGAGACCCTTAGCAGCAGGAGTAGTAGTAGTAGTAGTAGTAGTAGTCGCAGCAGCAGCAGGAGTAGTAGTAGTAGTAGTAGTAGTAGTAGTAGCAGCAGCTATGCGCGCCTCCAGGCGCCTGGTGTTAACC